AGGTGTTTTAACTTCAAAATATTGTATAAATTCTGTGTAGATGAGGGAGAAGCTGCCACTAATTTGAGTGGAGGAATTTGGGGTAGTTTTGTATTTAAAATGCAGGAACGTTGTTGCAATAACAAGTCACTGCTTTATCGCAGAGCTTTAAGTTCAGATGTGCTTATGTAGTGGTCAGGCCACTGCAAGTAGTGGCTGACTCCTCGGGTATCAGAGAAGTTTTGTGTAGCTATCATGGAATTAAATAGTTGAGGTTGGAAGACGCCTCTGGAGATCATGTAGGTCCACCCTCATGCTAAAAGCAGGGTTGAGTGGAGCAGGTTGCTCAGGACCATGCCAGCCAGATTTTGGGTATCTCCAAAGATGGAGACTTCACACCCTCTCTGAGCGACCTGTTCTGGTGTTTGACCAGCCTCACAGCAAAAAAGAGTGTTTTTTCTTGTGTTTAAGTGGAATCTCCTGTATTTCAGTTTGTGCCCATTGCCTCTTGTCCTGTCTCTGGGCTCACTTGAGAAGAGTCTGGCTGTTGTCTTTACACCCCCCCATCAGGTTTTTTACACACTGGTAAGATCCTCCTGAGCTTTCTTTTCTCCAGGCTGAACAGTCCCAGCTCTCTCAGCCTCTCCTCCTATGTCAGATGCTCCAGACCCTTTATTGTCTTCGTGGCCCTTTGCTGCACTCCCTCCAGTATGTCCACGTTTCTCTTGTCCTGGGGAGCCCAGAGCTGTGCACAGCACTCCAGGGGTGTCTCACCAGTTCTGATTAGAGTCCTGGGTGTCCCAGCTGCCTGCAGTGTGCTAACTGCCACAGGCTGCCCTGGGATTAACTGCAAGTTTGGTAATTAAAGCTTTGGCTAAAGTTTTCATAGTAGATTTTTTGCATGACAGCGGAACTAGTTCAGATTCAGGACAGGGGAAGCAACCCTGGTTGCCTGAAATCCATCTACCTTTAGAATTGAGTGTTTTAGTATGGTATATGTTTCATGCTTTTGCCATGTGGCTTTTAATCTTCCATACATCCTGAGGGTCGATTTTGCTCTGTGCTGGGCTTATTTTAGTGTGACTTCATTGACTTGGGGAGAATTATTATCCTGGTTTCCACTAGGGTAAGTGACAGCTCTCAATAGCAGACGGAGAAATTGTACCACACTAGTACCAACAACACCTAGCTGCATTTTTTACAGTGACAGGTCACGTGCTCTAGGAATAGCATTGAGGAAACACATGGCTGTCTTTCTAAACAGTATGGTGGTGACAGATCTTTGCTTAATATCCACAAAGGTTCTGCAGCCAGCACCTTTTCCTAAGGGTGTTTCCTTTCCTTTCCTGTAGTTGTTGACTTGCGTATATTACGCTATGTCAGTATATGGAATTATCTTCAAACAAATGGGAGACAGCAGAAGTCTTGGAATATGGGACTCAGCCTGCTTGATTAGAAACTGAGTGCACGTGAACAGTCTCCATTTGTAGGATCATACATCCCCAGGATTTTTTCTTTTGCTTTCCTCACTTTAAATGGAAAAGGAGGTTCTTTTTTCTGAATATTTTGTATTTTTGTTTAGGAAAAAAAATAATCTGAAAAGATGACAGGCTTAAATTTACTACTCTTCTTACCTTCAGGTACAACATTGAATGTCCCAAAATGAAGGAAATGAACAAAGAATGTCATACTATTGTACTACCTTGCAGAGTCAGTGTGAGAAACTATGCAGTGTCACTACCAGTTTCAAAAAATAAATTAGCTTGTATGGTGCTCCATGATGTTTCAAGTGAGATTACTTGCAAAAGAATTATCTCTTTTGCAACAGACTTGGATAGTTAATGTATTTTGCAGATTGTATCTCACAAACTAGAATGAGGTATTGTTTTTGCTTTTCAGCTAGGAAATTAAAAAAAAAAATCATACCCTTTGTAACTGACAGCTTTCTCGGTCACGTTATGCATTGTATGCTGTATGGTACGTACTAATATCAATATATTTGTCAGGCAAAAAGAAGAAATAATGCAGTAGCTAACTCCCTTAACTGTGGGAGTTCCCTGAGCATGTAACGACTTCTGTTTGATTTATTACTGGGCTGACAAACCTTTCCAGGCACTAAAACCCTTTGATTATTCCTACATTCATAATTATTTGTATGGCTTGAACTCCTGGTATAATTTATCAGCTTGTCCCTCAGAATATTTCTTAAAATACGCTGATAGAAGTTGATTCTGAAGACACAAAACCTGGCACTTACTACTACGCAGAGTTCAAATATCCCTTTGTATGTGGGTAAATGGAGGAACGTGGAAAGCTAACGCCCATTTCATTCTTGAGTACTGCATACTGACTATCGTAGAAGTTCTGCTTTTCCTGGGAAGCCTTTTATTATTTCCTTTATGATTGGCATGACAGTTCACCAGTGTTTTGTAAGAGAAGTCAGAAATTCTGTGCAGTGATGAAAATGAAGTCTCTTGTGCTGTTTACTTCCGTAGTCTGGCCGTTTATGAAGGCTGCATGGTAGACTTCCTGCTGGTGCTCTGAAGAGGGTGAAGAATCTGGGTGACCTCAAACAATTTAATGTTCTCTGGGGAACTCGTCTTTTGTGCCTGCAAATTCCAGTGGCTGAGGGTCTCCCTAGTATGACTTTCCTCTTGTGACTCTGCCTATCTCAGGGTGGCTAAGTAGGTGTTTCAGTGGGTCTGAAGGCAAAATGGGGTCAATTCCTACTTGAATCTTGGCTTAGGAGGCTTCTCTTGGGTCTGCCTAAAATTCATTTAGTTTCCTTGAGACCCTGCTGTGATGCAGGGGTGAAGCTGCCGGGACTCACCTCAGTTGTCCTTGCTACCTCAGCTGTCCTCCATCCCGTGGCACAAATGGCAATAAGGTTTCCTACAAACTTTCATCACCTTAATGTAAGTAGTACACTGCTTTTGGAGCAACACTAGACATTGCGTGTGCCATTTGAATATGCCGCCAGATTTCAAGACTGCCCTTATTTCTAGTGGGCAGGTTTTTGAATGAACTCTCTTGTCTGTCTAGTAAATGTTACTGCAGTTGTCATAGGGGGGAAAAAAGGCTAGTGTAATTATCCTAGCAATTTTCTAATGAAGATAAATTTCATTTTTCACGCATTTTCTCTCCACTGTGCTGCAATGCTAAGAAAAGCGTTAGAAGATTACAGCACAAAGAAGAGTTACTGGTGCTCTACATCACCTCTCTTATGTGGAGTTCATAGGAGCTTATACCTAGTTCCTTCAACATGTCATGGCATCAGCATCTCTCTGTGCTGCAGGCAAAATCTGAACTTCCTACACTGGTTGTCATATTAAACATTTGGGAGGCTATTTACAGAAAACTGTCAGCAAATAGGAAGAAAAGTGTTGGCTTCGTGTGAAGGTTATAAAACATTTTCACTTTCATGCATAGGCATCCTCTGATAGTAAGGTACGGGATTCAGTCTCACTTTGTTGCCTTAATTGGAAGAGCATCTATTCCTGCCTATTTCTTCTAATAATTGAAATTCTATGTATCCATCATTCCCCCTTTGCAAGACTATCTGCTGCTTGCCATTTCCCATTATGGGTGTACAGAGAGGCTGTACAGTAGGTTGAAAGGTTTCCTATTATTTGCTTTGCTAGTAGCTTCTTATTCCACCACTTTTAAGAGAATCAAGCAAGTGACCTCAGTTTGCCTCATGGCAATTAATTGTCTTAAGATGATTTGTACATTATTAGCACTAAAACAGTGATATCCTGTAATCTGTTTCCAGAGGTATATATTTAACATTGGAAGGATTCTTTTGGGTGCTTAAGCTGGAGGGTGGAGTTTTTCCCTGGAGCCTCTAGTGACAACAGGGGACTGCTTCCAAATTCCAGGGGCTGGAGGGAGGCAGGGGGCATTAACCTGTTAGCGATAAGGGAGAAGCTGGTCTGAACTGTCAAGTAGGAAGCGTCTCTGTCCGTGCATAAGGGTAAGTTCTCTTGTGGTGGATACTTGCTTGGTATCATTGTTCTCGTATTTGGGACAGGACTTTGAAAAGTGATAAATTTTTCTTCTTAAACCAATATTGCAACCAAACTGTATGTAAGTATGATTGTTGATTGAAATGGGCGACAGTCAAACTGCAGTTGTGTGTGCAGGTTGTCTGATTAACCATCATGTTCTGCAGCAGCTGTTTTTTCCATATTCGTTACAGTTTTCTGTTAGGATGGCTTTAGCTGTTCCTGAACTTTGAAGAGAGATGAGATTCCTGACTGCACAACATAAGCATCATAGTATAACTTTTGGTTTTGTAATTGTTTTTCTATTTTCATTGGAAATACAGATGGTAGGACAAAATAAAAAGGAGACATTTCCATTAGAAAGCAAAGGAGGTGAAACAAGTGATCCTAACAGGGTACAGAGTACATGCTGTGGTTCACTTAAAATATTGTGACTGCTAAGGTTTCATTCATGTCTCTGCCCAAGTTAACAAAACTGAAACTAGTTATAGGTATGCCTAACCATAACATAGTGTCAATGCAGACCTATGCAGTGCACCCTTCTGCCCTCTATTCTGCTTACAAGTGTTGGGCAAAGTGCTGTACAAGTAGCTTTTTGTTAACAGTATCAACTTCCCTTCCCCTAACTTATCTTTTTCTCTTGTAAAAATCCTAAAGTGTACCTTGACTTTGTTAGAAAAACTTCAGATGTTTGTTCCAAAAAGTGTATTTAATGGATAAAATCTTCCCTCCTTCTCTCTTCACTTTTTCCACTGCTATGTGATGAAGCAGCAGGCAGTGTGGACCTGTTTTGTTATGAAGTCAGTTCTTCTACAGACATGAAATGTTCCCTTTTTTTTTTTTTAAACTCACTGAAAGCCAATGTCTATTAGTTACCTGAAACAGTTTTTACAGAATGTGTCTGGTTCCCAGAAGACAGCTTGAAAAAAGAGATTGCGTGTGTTAAAGCTTTTTCTTGTTACAGGAAGAGTGGTAACATGATTCTGCGTATCTGTGCCCATCTTTCTGCCTTTGCAGTGTACCTCTTGTTGATTTGCTAGACAGCACGGAGTTGCCAGAAACTTGTGTTGATGATGCCGTAGGCCGTCCAGTTGTTGGCTTGGCAACAGGAGATTCAGAAGAGGCTGTTAGTTGCCCTTATCCTGGCACAAAGGAAACAGCTGCTGAAAAAGCAGACTCTGATCGTAAGCAAACTTAAGGATTTTTCCCTATTATCATGACATGTGGGGTCCAAGTTAACTGATTAGGTTGTTAGAGGTTTTTTCCTTACAAAAATCCAGAAGTGTTTTAGAAAGCTCCCTTAGATTATATGCATAAGGACAGTTTTGCCCACCACTGGGACAACAAAGTCAGTCAGCTCTCCCCGTTTCAGATGGAAGCAGCTCATTTCCAAGGACAGAGGTGCAAGGGAAAAGTTACAGTTCTTCATGAGATCTGACTTTAGCCACAAATACAGTGAAGTGCAACCATCTGAGCAATTAACTCTTGCTGCTTGCTCGTTCGCTGTGAGGATGGCTGGGTAAATGAACTTGCAGCAGTGCAGAGTGTTGTCATTAGGTACATACAGTCTGTAGGCTTGAAAGTTGCATTCAAGGTTGAGCAAGTAGCTTCCCCGTCCCTGTGCTTTTTTCCACAACTGTAAAACCATATAATTAGTGCTCAGGAAGAATGCAAGTTACAAGTCAAATAACTCCACAGTGACATTAGGAAGATATCTTTTCTGTCTTTTTCAGCATTTGAAGACACGTTCCTAAAACTGAAACAGTTGGAGACAGAGCACAGCAGCCCCGTGCCAGCCGAGCGTCCCAACGTAAACATAAACATACAGGTACTTGGGATTCATTCTTCCTGGCAGAGTCGCTGAGTTTTGTTCAAATCATTCTGAACAGTCTTTCACTTACCTTGAGCCATTTGCAAGATTTTTAAGAATACGAGTGAGTAATATTGGGGATAGTAAAGGAAATACAAATGCTTTGTTACATATAAACCTGCGTGTGACAGGGCAGTGAGATAAAGATGGGGGGCAGAGGGGCACGTGCGCGTATGCAGACTGTGGCCTGGTGAAATTTTCTAAAATCAATGGGAGTAAAAGGCATAAACACTTGAAATGTTCCTCAGTTGTCTTTATCTGTAGGTTCCCAAGTGTACGGTGTTGTATAGTTCACCCTCATTTTTGAGGGGGTGAGCTGCTTTCCTGGTGTTTTTCAGTTGCCTTTGGTAACCCTCCCAGAACATTGTTTTGACGTTTTGTTTTGAGTCAAGTTTGCTGGTGATCCGTCCCTCCTGTTAAGTAACCAGTTTTTACCTGCTCTCTGAAGTAGGTGTTAGTGCTCTGTGTGTTTACATAGAGAGGAGTGATGTGGTTTGATTTAGTGCTCTCATAAATCCTTTTGAGCAAGTCAGGCTGCATTTCCACCAGCAGCTGAGCCAAAGTACGAGCTTCAGTGCCCTGAACAGGGCGAGGGCTCTCCTCTCCCTCACTCCTTTTTGCTCTTCCTTCCCCGGCTTCCTTCTCTCCTCCGTCACCTCCAGGAATCGTTGCATGTTTCAGTGAACCAATGTAGCCTACAAAATGGCAAACAAAAAATTTTTTGCCTTTTTTGTTTTGAACTTTTTGTTAAGGTGTTGGGTTTTTTTGGTTTTGTTTGTTTTGGTTTTTTAAGTTGTTAAATCGTGAGCTAAATAGGTTCATGGAAGGGGTCAAAGAAATGCCAGAGCCATAGTGAAAATAAGTAGTGTTGCTAGAAGGGATGGAGAGGACGGGAATCCTCCCTTACAACAGCAGTGAACTTTCATAGATTCACTGGTTATCAGACAACTGCACCCATGCAAGATACTATTCTTTTTTTTTTAATGAGTTTTAAAAAATTTGGAATTTAGATTTCCCTTACTCTGCTTCCCCCGGTGTTAAAGCTTTAGCGCTTTACTGCATTTTGAACAAGCAGAAAGAGTAAAACACCTGGCAGTGTTATCTCTGTTTGTACTACCCTCCCTTGCAGGGAGGCCCGAGGATTTATCTAACTTTCGGTGAAGCAGATATGATTTTTCTTGCTCCCTCAATAGTAAAATGAACCGGTTGCCAGGAGAGGTGTTTAGCAGTACGTGTTTGGGCTGAACCCATTCCTGAGCATTTGTTCCCCCCGCTCCGTGTGAGAGAAGGCTGCTGCTTTGGTATGCTTGGTGCTGCAGGCCGTTTGGCTTTAAGTGTCCCCTTTAAGGACTGTTGTCAGGGATGCCTTGTGCACCTCTCTGCTTGGTGAGTGCATTACAAAGATTACCAAGTCTCTAAGAAGATTAGTCAGTAGCCTATAGGTCTTGTTATGCTGAAACACTGCCTCCGCATAAACTAAAGCAAATGAGCAGAGTTTATTTCAGAATATTTTTGCCGGTTGAGCTCCATTTTAGTTCAGACAAAGAGGGGAAAAAAAAAAATTTAATTGGTTAAATAGAGAGAATGGAGCAAAAGTGTTCAAGCGGTTTTTAAATTGTGGCTGATATATAGTAAGCAAGATAAGATTCCGGTAATGAGCTAATCTAACAAACAGCTGCCAATACAGTACAGTCACAGTTATCCAGCTGCTGTCATATGAGGTGCCAAGTAACTTTGGATATTAGAGGTTACAGATACTGGGGTGGTAGTAACCTGATTAGAGAGCAAGAACATTTGCATGACTGAGAAATACGTGATGTATGGATCAACAGTATGCCAATATGATTCTTTCTTTGGGTAAAAGAGACTTCAGCTTTCAAGAAGGGAGTGCAAATTGTATTATGAAAACATAAGAGTAGATCATCAGTGGTTTTCCTCGGGTAGAAAAGATTGAATAAAGCTTTTCAGCCTATGATGTAGCTTACCAAGAAGTCACTTGAGAGTGTTTGTTTAAAAAGGTAGACAAACATTAGAGACTGTCTTTGTATGCTTTAAAATCTGTATGCTTCAAATTGCAAAGACGTGTAGGTTACAGTAGCACCAAATGAGCACACCCAGTTGCGACTAGAGATGAAGGTTTATGGTTTGGAAATGAGTCCTGAAAAAGGTGACCTAAGAATAACTATTAAAAACACGTTGTTTCCTGCTTTTGAAGGCTGCTTTAGAAAGAATTTCCACTTATGGTGTTTGTTACAAAAATGTACCTATTGGCTCTCCTCCTGCTTACTTCTGTTCGTAAAACAGATGTTTATGGACCTTCTTTTGACTGAACTGAATGGGACTGCAATATATCCACTAAAACCTTGCAATGAGCTTAGATCCTGGAGCTTGCTGTTACCTCAGATGAACAGTGTTACAGTGTTCTCTCTGAAAGTGTGTGATTACAAATTTCAGCATGTCATCTCCCTGAAGTTTTACCAGTGCATAAGATACCTACCTATGTAGAAACAGTTACAGCACATAAAAGGTTTGGTAAAATGCATCGGGGGAAAGCATTAGCCTTTCTGCTTATGAAGGCAGAGCTGCATCCTGAACTTCTTAAGTGACACTGTCAAATGCCAATGAACTGCTCACTTCAGCTTTGTTAATTAAAAATCTTGAACTATTTTCCATCAGGGGTCAGAGGTGGCCTGACAATCATCTTTACGTAATTCTATACTTGCAATCAATCAATCTTGATTGATTTCTTTGATAGGGAAATATTTATCTAGCTATCCGTGTTCTTTCAGAGAAAAAGAGAAATCTTTCTAGAATGAGAACTGGGAAGGGGCGAATGAATAGCTTCATTCTTCACCGCTGCTCCTTGCCAAAATCTGTTGGGATGGAAGAATGTGACTTTGTCCTTTCCCAGCTTTCACTAGTGCAGTGACCAGATCTGACAAAAGAGAGCAAATAGCTCTTAAATACACCGACGCTCCGCTTTCATCAGCTTCTGAAGCGAAATGAACAATGAAAAGTTCACCCTGTTTGCCTGTGTTCGAAGTCTGCTCCAGAGTCAGAAATGCAAGGACGTGAGGGTTTTCTTTTTCTGAATTCATTGTGATCTGTAAACACATGGAAGTTGCTCCAAAATGTGCCTGTATTAGACTCCATCTCCCTGCACAAAGTGATTTTTCAGTGGCACCAGGAACACTGCTCAAAAGCACAAAGGATTGGGATCGCACGCCCTGCTGCCGCCTTCAATCTTTCCTTCCCTTTTTACATCGCTGTCTAGCTCCATATTTGACTGAAGAATAGAGCACAAATATAGTTTGTCTAGTACATGGAAACAATAAAAATTCATAACGAGCTAGAATATTGACAAACCCCAGCAGCCTTACTGTTTTATGTGAACAACTGAAATGTCAATTAGACATCTTGAGGCGTTATCAGGTGCCAAATGCTTTCCCCTCTAGCTACATGCTCTTTCCATTAAAAAACCCAGTAAAACACCAATGCTTTTTTCAAGCACAAAATAGAAAGGATTGAGAAAAATGTATCTTGAATATTGATTGGAATACTTCCCTGGTGGTATAGAACTTATACTTGATTACATTAAAATATTTCCAAATAGTACTGAACTTTTCAAAAGTTGGGAATCTAATCACTAATAGACTAGAGTGACCTAATTAAACTGGTTGTTCAGGTGGAGGAAGCGGAGAGGAAGTTTAACCACACACTGGTGCTTAAAGCACCAGTGTACTCATGTGCTCAGTTAAAATAATCAAATTTACTATATCACTGGTACTGGAATAACGCATTAGAAATTCTGTGCAGGGACTGTTACATACAGCATCTGGTTCGGTGAGGTCCAGTGTAAGGCTTTAAGGATTGTCACAGTTGGGTATGTGACTGTACAAATAATAATAATTCAGTTTTAATTATTCCAGACTTTTGGCAATTCCAGAAGCTTCTCTAAAATAAAAACACTTAAATGTTTAATAATTAATTGTTTTGTTAGCCTTCATGAATTATGTGCATCTCTGAATATCTGCTAGCAATAGTCATGAGCAACACTGGTTGTTGGTCCTCATACCTTTTTATGTTGACAGTGACCCTTGACTATTTTGCAAAGTTCATTGCTGACTAGGGTCAAAATTTTAAAACGGGTTCTCCTTTAGATGGGCTCATAAGTTCCTATTTGGATACCCCGAAAGGTGAATTAGGGGGAGACAAGAAAAGGAGATGTTTTTCCCCTCTCTAAAGACCAAATACCTAGAAGTTCTCACCAGCATTTCCAGTGAACGAAAAAAGCCAAAAGTGGATGGAGAGCTGTGTGGGGGACAGGCATTCACCTCTTTTTAACTTCTCTCCCCTGCTCTCTCTCTGTGCGACGGGCTTCATTCCTTCTGGACAGGCTGCAGTTCGTGCAAGGAGGAGTGCAGCAGGATTGTGCCTGCTCCGGGGCGTGTTGCAGGAATGCAGCACTTGCCTCCAGGAAGGAGCCTGCCTTAGCCAGCGACGGTGGCATATGGGGAGGAAAGCAGGACTCTGTCTCCCCCTGCTGAGTCATACCCCGAGAAGAGAGGTCGCAAGGTTTAGTTTCCACTCAGTTAATTAACTTCTGTCACTAATCAAAGAGCAATTAGTAGATTGAATGCTTAATTAACATTTTATAATTAAGAAATGCAATTCACATAATGAAATATACTGTAGTGAAAGGTATCTCATTTTTAATTGTCTTCATTATGTATCTGGCTGCCAGTTTGCTCTGATATAATCAGTGATGGGAGAGGTGGCTAAGTAGCACATTAAACTGTTGTTCTAATTTATAAATGGATTTTAAGGTAAAAATCTTCCCAGCTTGCATTTGAGAGTGAATTATCAACTTATAGTTAGGCTATACTGATATGATATGATGGCTGCTGTATTGATCTCCTATCAGTAAACTAGGCTGCAAATTTAGGGTCCACTTCAGTTCTTCCACGCTGTATTTTTAGCACAGCACTTTGCATCTCCACTTTTAAGGATTGTGCTTTTTTTACTTTATGTTTTGCTGTGACTTTACAATTGAGTTCCAAAATAAAGGAAAAAATTGCTTTTTCATTTCAGTATAAATCTGCTGACTTTCCTCTCACTCAGAGCCTTCTTGTTATTTAGAGGTGTTAATAAACTTCAGCCCAGACTTTTCCATGTGGGAACTGCTTCTAAAAAAAATTTTTTTTTTTTTTTTTTTTTTTTTTTTTTTTTTTTTTTTTTTTTTAGGTGGGGGGGGGCG